TCTACCGAATAGGTGCGAACTGGTAGGAACCCACCTCTGCACCAGGATCATTTCTACCAACAGTGACAGGGTAAGCTGCAAGAATATAAATAGAGAGGAAACCCTTATTCCCTTCTAGCACTGATGATGTTACCTAGTTGGGTCATGAAACGTCAGTGAGAAAGTAACCAAGCTCAGAGAACTCATGGCTCTTTAGCTCTTCACTTAACATGAACCCTGCTAGAGTCATAAACTTCGACACAATGAACATGAATTTGGCTAAAGTCTGGGAGACCTCGGAGAACAGGGTGTGCTATGGTCCATGGGGCTTATGAAGAATCGGTCACAACTTAGCAACTGAATAAAAAGGTAAAGGTTCCCCTCGCAAATATGTGCTAGTCATTCCCGACTCTGGGGGGCGGAATTCATCTCCGTTTCAAAGCCAAAGAGCCATTGCTGTCCGAAGACGTCTCCGTGGTCATGTGGCCGGCATGACTCAATGCCGAAGGCACACGGAACGCTGTTCCCTTCCCACCAAAGGTGGTTCCTATTTTTCTACCTGCATTTTTTAACGTGCTTTCGAACTGCTAGGTTGGCAGAAGTTGGGACAAGCCACGGGAGTTCACTCCATTACGAGGCGCTAGGGATTCGAACCGCCGAACTGCCGAACGTTCGATCAACAAGCTCAGCATCTTAGCCACTGAGCCACCGTGCCCCTGAATTACTAAAAAGCCACAAAAGAATAATAGAAGTTGCCATCTGAGCTAGACACATTCCATCTCTTCCTCTCTTTGTACGTTTCTTCTCTCTTTGACCAACTCTACCTTCCTTCTTCTTCTGTCCACTCCATGCAGTGAATTTTAACCGTCTTGTAGAACAGGATCAGAGGCCAAAAGCATGGCCAAGGTAGATCAAAGGAGCATTGTCTCACCCTTGTTTATCTACAGGGAGCAGCAGAGGAATTCATCTTTTAACACGGAATTTCCCCAAACTGGAAATGGCGGGCTTGAGAAGGCTGAGCAGAAGAGAGAGGAAAACAAACCGAAACTATTACTCACCCACACAGAGGATGTTGAAACAGAAACCATGGTTAACTGATTTGTTCACCAGCTGGTCAGGCAAGCTATCGAATCCGACGTGGCCAGAAAGAGGAACGGTCCGGCAACCTTCACCCTAAGGACAGTCACAAAAAGGATGCATGTTAATACGAAGTCACAAACTTTCAGGATAGACTTCTAGATACGTTCTGAATTTGGGGGATTGGGGTAGATGTCAACTCCTTCCAAGTATATATTGTTGGTCTCTTTCGCCCTCCCTGAATTACACATACGAGCTGAACGTGTCGCTTCTCGAAATTATTTTATGCTCTGGCAGAAGAACAGAGGAGGGAAGCTGTGGGAAAGTTGCCTTCAGGGCAGGAGTTGAGAAATAAACTGCAAGAGTGATAGAAATCTAAAAACTAACTGGCCCGGAGCAACTTGTGGTAACTTTCTTGCCGTGCTCATTAGGCCAACAACAGTAGGCTCCAAAAACTAACTTCCTCCTCGGAGCTGGAGGGGAGAAGATTCCCGAGAACAGGAATTCTTATTGGAGACACCGATCTTGAGCCTAGCAGGATTGTCCATCGGGCATGGTCATAAACGATGCAATCGCAAAGCTGTGCCTGGTTTCAATGCGCATCGCCTTTTCCGCACATCAAAAGCCATGCTTGCATCGTGCCCATCATTTGCCCGCCTTGAAGCGTTTTTAGACCATAAAGCAACAGCTTTCGACAATTTCTATCCTTGGAAAAATGCATCCAACCGTCGGGTTTCAGCCCATTAAACTGGACTGCAAGATGTAATAGGAGGTTGAGGACTCAGGACAGCATACAACATTAAAAGAAACACATAATACAAAAGTTAAAAAGAAATTAAATAGGATATCCCAAACAAACCCAATTAAAATTAACAATAACATTTTTTTATNAGGTGGCTCCTATTTTTCTACCTGCATTTTTTACGTGCTTTCAAACTGCTAGGTTGGCAGAAGCTGGGACAAGTCACGGGAGCTCACTCCGTTACATGGCACTGGGGATTCGAACCGCCAACCCTTCTGATCGACAAGCTCAGCATCTTAGCCACTGAGCCGCCGCGTCCCCTTCTGACTTCTAATACAATTATTAAGGGTGGATAAAAATCAGAGTCAAGTCTCCAACAGTTAAAGAGTTACTGGATTCTTCTTGCGACTGTTTTAATTTACTTCAATTTAAGGCGCATTTATTTCAACAGAAGGCGAAGGCTTTAAGAATGGAGCGAATTCAGATTTCATTTGTGGACCTTCGGTTCTAAGGATGACCCACCTGCCCTGAGAAGAGGATTTGGTTCTTGTTATCATGGAACAGAAACATGTTAATAAATTGAAGCAGGATACTGGGAGCAGAACTGGAATTTTCAGCGCCGTAAGCCAGCCATTTAAAGATGATCATGAACACCAGGTAGCCAAAAATGGACAGAAGGAACAGAAGTTGAGGAATGAACACCAAGTAAATATTGTACGTCTTCCTGAAATACCTGAAAGAAGAAAAAGGAGGAGGAGTGAGTTTATTTTTTGTTTTAATTATGCCTCTTAATTCGGGATAGAATCAAGGCGACTGGATGGAGCTGAGCAATCACTGGCTGGAAGCCCTTCCTGATGCCATGTGGAGTTCACAGCAGATATATTTTTTCTCTGTGCCCAAGGGGAGAAACACCTGCCGCTACCTAAGATTTGAATTCTCAACCTTCCCAGAGGGAGGCAAGCATCTTCACGGGGTCATCACATCACTCTATTGTTGTTGTTTTTTTACAAAAACCATTTCAATAATCAGTTGATTAGTGAACTGATTGAATTATTGATCAATAATTCTGATTATTATTTAAATAATCAGAAAAATAAATTACCCCCCGAAGAAGGAAAATCTATGAATGTACAGAAATGGATAGACTGTCTATGGAAATGAAGGAGAGGGAAGAAACTGAGTACTGTCAAATCTGGAATAGATGGTATTCCTGGCTTGAGAGTAAATGTAAAACTTAAAAGTATAAAGGGCAAATGTGTAATAATATAGAGATATATTTAAACAAGGATATAACAGGATACTGATATAGAGATATAATGTTTTGTAAATAGGATTGTTACGGAAAATATCTATACCGATATGGAAAAGCTGTTACATATATAAATTTGTCTTTGGGGTTTTTGTTTTTTAAATGTTGGGAAATGTAATTTTTTTAAAAAGAAAAATAAATTAATTGCTTGCATAATTGAAGAGCACTGAGGTTGTCAACTCTCAGAAGTCTTATTCTATGACTGTGAGTGGTCCCAGTATGATCAGTGGTTGGGATTACTGGAAGTGATGGAAAAAGTAACTCAATGAATGGCACAAAAAGCCTTAAAGGAGGAAACACTTCATCCGGAAAAAGAGGGGAAAAAAGGACATTTACTTTATGAAATTGCATTTATTATGAAATTTATTTGGTGCTCATCTCCGGTCAAAGGCATAGCAAAGGCCCCACCGTTACGGCTCTTCCTGGCCATACTCACATGTAGTTAAAGCCCCCCAGAGCAATCCCAAAGACCATGTGCACCATTCCGATAATGATTGACATTTTCATTTTGAAGGAATTGAGGAAGGTGAGGCGGTTGCTTGCAAGGCTCCACATCTGGAATGAGAGAGAAACAGAAAGAGAAACTGAAGAAAAGATTCAGCCCAGAATAGACGGCAATCCTTGACTTACAACACTTCGCTTAGGGACTGTTGGACATTACAACGGCACTGATTTACGAGCATTTTTCATGCTGATGACTGTTGCAGCATCTCCGTGGTCACATGATTTTCATTCGGATGCTGACTCGCAACAGAGACAACTCAGAGCAGGTATGAACAGGAGGAGGGGAGGGCTGTAATTCTCTGGAGCCGCATCAAAGCCTTGTAAATCCCGTCAAGAATAAATACAAATATAATAGCGGAGTTGGAAGGGACCTTGGAGGTCTTCTAGTCCAACCCCCTGCCTAGGCAGGAAACCTTGCGCCGTTTCAAGAGGAAGTCCTTGACGGACAGCAGCGGCTTCAAGGGAAGTCACTCACCGGATCTATGCCGAAAGGATAAGGGCCGGTGAAGACGCCAGTCGCATTTGGATTCAGAGTCACAAACGGATTCGTCAAGTCTGCCTTGCTAGAACAATTTCAAAAACGAAAGAAAGCACGCACAACAGAATTGGAGGTTGAGAAGAGACGTTCTGAGCACCCAAAATGTTATCCCCCCTTACGCAAACAGAGCCGGGGTGGGCAATTCTGGCAATTTTGCGACCTGCGGGATGCAGCTCCCAAAATTCCCCAGCCACCCATGCTATCCCAGGAATTCTGGGGGTTTCAGTCCAAAAGTCGTATAGTTGTCACCATTGTCCATACCAAGGAGAGACCGCCTTCTGCCAATTACCTCCCACAGACCCGTTAGATCGCACAGGGTCGGCCTCCTCCGGGTTCCG